GGGTAATATCGTCCATAAGTAGATTTAATATCAAGCTCTAACTTATTAATAAAATTAAGTTTCTGCAATAATTGGCGTGGATACTATTATAATATGTATGAAACCCTCGTTAACATAAGCACAGAATATGCAACTATAGGAGTTTTGTTCGCACGAATTTTTAACTTTGCAAATAGCCATGGAGAATCATTTATGGGCATTATTAACAAATTTTTCGTTCAACTTCACAACTACGCACCAACAAATTACAATAATGTAACTGACGAACAAGTCTACTTTGCACAAGTAAACATTGGCATATTTGTTAATAAATTCAATCAGAAGAACATGGACGATATTAAAATTCATAATGATCAACTAATAATGGACACTGATGGATCGTTCGAGCCTCTTGTTACTCAAAATGCTCATTTACCTAATTTTTATAAATCAATCAACGACTTTAATGTTCTACAAGGAGGAATATTTAAACCATTGTTTGTTTAATATTTAAAATATAGTTTGCGAAATATTTTAAGTTTAGGCAAATTTAGAATTTGCCTGAGATTATAATTTAGCCGGCAAATTTAAAATTCATTGGGGAACACGTATCTCGAAAAAACTTTAGGGAAGGTTTGTATTATGTCTGCGGATCAGACATTTTTATTATGCTTTAAAATGACCCTAAACTCTCAAATTTAATTGAGGCTATATTTATTATATTTATTCCTGCAGTCATTTAAATTAGGGTAAAGTGAGGCTCCGAAAAGCACTGAAAATTGAGGAAATGAAACAAATATACCGTATTTTCTCGATTAATTCCTCAACCTCGAATAATTCCCCTCCCCAAAATACTTCCCCTCCTTTTAATAATTCTCCTATCAATAATACCCCCATGCAGGTTTATATGATTCAGTGCTGGGAGATATAATATATACCCTTAGTATCTATCATACAATGCTCCCTAATGTGGCACTATAGTCTTAATACTCCCATATTTGGGTACATAAAGACCCAAGTACCCTCATGCGGTTATATGGTTCCGTGCTTGGGAATATATCCATGCGTATATACCTATATGTATATATATTATGTATATAAAATATATATAAAGTAACAAAGAAGACTTAACGTCAAAGCTTCATGAAGTTTTTTAAATTCAACAAAAATTAAATTTAAAATAGTAAAATATTCAAACCACGAACATAACAGATTGAAATCTATAAATTATTAGGTCAAAACTCAGTTATCACATGGATCAAGAATATCACGATGATAGATGGAGACAAGCTGAGCAGAGAAGGATGGCAATGGCTCTTTATACAATTCAAGGATTAGCTCATTTGTTTCATGTTGTGTGGCCTATAGCTCAAAACGTACTTTTTGAAAAGAAATGCCTTTATTATGGTCAACACGGAATTTTCTTTGTGGAGGTTGACTTGAACCTTCCTTAATTAGATATATTAAAAAATTTCTAGGGTGTAGGAAATGAAAATGAAGATTGGCTTAAATTTGCAACAAGACAAAGTAAGGGATAAAGGGATTAACCGGGATTAACGTGGATATCGATGGATTAAGTTGTAAAGAAATTAAAAATTAATGTTGATCAAAAGTTTGTAACTCTTCAGAGTCAATAGGTCTCACTGTGTATTTGTCATAATAGTAGTGCTCCATCTTGGGAGCTTCTGATTTTTAGGTCTCGTTTTTCTTTATCAGTCTCGGACTAAATTTTCTCTTTTGGTAAATTTTAATTACCGGGAGAACAATGGCCACCTTGCCATTTTGAACCATTTTATCTATTTATCATAAATGTTGGAATGTCCTCAGTGAATAGAAAAGTGAACCCTATGTCCTCATGTTCCTTTATTTTCTTGTTCCACTCGAACCCTCACTTTCCTAAAGCTCCAAATTTTATTAAGAAAAATAATAAAATTTCTTGAAAATTTTTAAGGTCAATCAACATTCGAAGGTGAACGAGGTGGTATAGGAGGGTATATGGGACATGGACAATATATCAGACCATGTAACGATAATTGGATAACTTTTTATTTGGCAAGAAATTATGGAGAATTTGAATATTCCTTGGCTGAAATAATGCCTCCTCAACGCCCAGGTTAGTTTCTAAAATACCGTATTTTCATAGTGGTATTTTCCACTTAACCATAAAACGTGACGTTTAAAAAATAAAAATTGTTTAAGCACATGCTTACGCACCTCAATATCCAGGTAATTTGAATTTATACAGTTAAATAGAGAGATAAGTTATACAGGTATGTGGAATAATTATGGATTGAGAGTAAAATTAAATCCGGTCTAGGATGACCCATTTTTAAATAATTTGTAATAACTTAAAGGAGAATCATCATACGGCCAAGCAGGTACATCCGTGGCAACACCCGTTTTTTCTCCTTTACATGAAATTAGTAAGTTTTTTGTGCTTTAACTAATAACATTGGTCCTGGAATTGAGGCTTTACGGTCGAATACACTTTATTATTATATCAAATAATTTTTAGCTTATAATCTAAAGCTTATAAATAATGTATTTAGGTGAAGTCCCATATGCTGGTCAGCCTTCATATTTGGGCACTCCACAACATTTCCAGTCACCTCATTATACTCCTCAACATTTTGGTACACCCCATTATACTCCTCAGCATGCCGGTACATCTCAGGCTACTCCGCAATATGGTGGGCAAGTACACAGAGGTAGGTTATTTTATGTACAATCCTATCTTATAACCAAATACCCTCTATCAGCTACAATTTCATACTTCCATCCTATCATTCTGAGACTAACATCTAATCGGGGTAAAGACGCCTAATAAACAGATTTCTTAATGGGTTTAAATGTCAATGTCTTAGACTAACACAGAATTACAGAATAAGACAGTAACTAACTGTTAGTATGGGTCTATTATTAAAGCAAACAGTATAGATCAGTCATGATGGCACCTTTGCCGACCGTTGCCGCTTGTTCTTAGTCATTCTTCACTTTTGCCACATTTGCTTGTATTTACTTATCGGATAAACGAGTTATTCTATTATTGTGTTATTCTGTTAGTCCCGAATTAAGACCGCTACATAGGAGAACACACTAACCAATGTGCTTTATCATGAGATAAATAATGAACTAGTGACGAACAATAGGAATAATGCAAAGCGATAAATATGTTACTGACGATAGAATAGCATAACAAAAAATATAAAACATTATCACATGGACAGAATAATTTGAGAGATTTTATACTTATCCAATACCTAAGACTATAAATTAATTTGTAAAAATTTACAGTTAGAAAACAAAAGAAAGGCTTTTTATCCTCAATCTTCTCCTGTTTTAACCCTAAAACAAAAGATGATCGTCGCCGCAAACGTTCAATTTCAAACATATTTGTGGATAAAATTGTACGTCAGAAACGTATGCAATATGCCGGTCCAAGTAGTTCGAGCACAGCATCACACGGTTCAGGCTTGACAGTAACAGATTGTGGACATTGGTTAGCTCCAATATGGTTTGGCTTTAACCTCATGTTGTTCATCCTTGGCTGGATGTTATTGGCTATTCAATATTATCCAATGTTCTGAAGATATGTAAAGAAATGAGTTGTTGAAAAGATTTTTTGATTCATACTTTTTATTTCGGGAGTATTTCCTAAAGAAATGGCGTTCTAATATACATACAATATCGCAATCTTAATATCCGAAAATGTACGGAATTTTACATGCTTAGGCTTGGACTGAACGGACTATAAGGAGTAAAGAGAATCATTAGCCGTGGCCGCGGTAGCTCAATGTTAGAGCGCCTGTACATAAAACTATTTTTTATAGCCGGTTTTGCGTTCCCATTTTTGTAATCTTTTCGTTCTCTAGGAAAAAGGTGGATACTTTTCAGATATTTTAGAGCTTTGCTTGTAGGCAGGGTCGGAACAGTCAGAGGTGTCAGAAATCGGAAGAGACGGAAATCGGAATTCAGACCCACCTCTGCTAGTAGGTAATCGAATGTGTTAGTCATAATATGTGTTCAACTTTTATTATTCCAAACCACGACACGAATTCGGGTTGTCATTTTATGCGAGGCTTAACTTTTTGTTTCAATTTTCTAAACTGAATTCGGGCTTGTCGATTCGGACCCTGATTCGAACTACATAAAATTTGAAATTATATTCATAACCACTATAAACGATTGTAAGTATATTGATAGTAGTGCGGACCGGGCCGGATTTTCCTCAGTCCAGGTCCAAATCCGGTTTTTTAGATTTCTCGATTATTACCGGATCGGATTAATCCGGAAAAATCAGGCCCGATCCGGTTCGGTTCAATTTACAGAAAGTGCAAAACAAAACCGACTAGTACCTTTAATTTTCCAAAAATTTTTGGTGCGTGGTTGGGCATTTAACTCTAAACTCATATTTATTAACCGATGATGAGATGATACCCTATTAATCCTATATCTCTAATTTATTTTTATGTTCTTTCTTTGAAATCCCATGTTCCTTTTATTCATATTTGGATCTCACTTGTGTTTACCTAGAGAGAAGTTATATAGCAGGACTAGCATGGTATAGATTAGCATGTTATATGAAACTTAAATTATCGCTTTCTGGGATGCTGCAAGTATCCGACCTCATTTAAAAATTTGAATGAGAGGAATATCAGGTTTTTGTGAGCAAAAGTGAGATCCAACAACTCGTCTGGGGTTTTTTGTTCCAGTGCTGGCATTTTTGCTCGGCCAAACTGGAACTTTTTTCTCCCCGGGCATCTATCCTCTTTCATTTTTAATTACTTTTAATTATTTATTTTGATACAATGTTTTTACAAGATTGGTTTTTTAAAATTATTTTTATATTTTCAAACCTGTTTCGATAAATTTTAAGCGAAAATTTTTAAATTTTTATGGATGTTATGAATTGCCAGTCTTAGTAGGACGGTATGTAGTGAATCAATTTCTAGTAGGATGGTTGTTGAGTAAGGTCAACAGCCCTTAAAGAGTTTTTTAAATTTTTTTTAGCCAGCCAATACTTAGTTCTTTATCATTGAAACGATGTCTACCAAACCATGACTCAAGGTCATTCCACTCGACAAATCAAAAACAAACCCACCGATCATTCCAACCAATTTACTGTACAACTCGGTATCGTTCAATTCACTTGGCTTCAACAGCCTAATTAACATCTTCTCAAACTGCTCTTGCTGAGCTTTCAACAATTTCTCGACTGCTTTTGCGTCCATTTTTCACAAACTTAAATAATACTTTTATTACACTTCACTTAACACTTAAATACTTCACTAACCTTTTAGGTTGTTCACTCACTGGAATTTAATTCACTTTTTTACTTGCCGAATTGCACACTGCTGTTGACGACTTTCTTTTTGTAGCTGTTGACGTGCCCAGGTTCTTCGGTCCAATAGGAAAGGCTCCTATAGGAAAGATAGAATAACGTTTGTATGAATATTGCATCCGATTTTTAAAAATTAACGCAAAACTAAAATATAAAGTTTTCTCCTGTTTAATATAAAGTTTTCTTCCATTGCTACTATTAAGAGTATTATTGATAGATTTGTGGGTTAATAGTGATATCGAGAAATTTGATATGATCAAGAGAGATATCAGGTGATTCAGAAGATAACGGGGTTTTGCCTTTCTTTAAAGGCCACTTCAGCTCCTAACTATGGGGATTCATTATTTATGTTTCAACTTGAAAATTAACTAATTTGGTCGAAAGTGACTGATCCACTAACGGAATCTTTCATCATTTCATTATGCCCAATTTGTCTCCCAAATTTTTTCTTTAAACCGTTTTACGGAAAACATTTATGTTATTTATTAATTAATAATTTATAAATGAATTTTTTAAAATTTTTGCCAATCAATTTTTAATATACTCAAGCAAGCGGATTTATCACTTTCAAGTCATGCCCTTCTTAAAAATTTAAAAATAAATTTACAACGATAAATCGATTCCAACTTTCTCTTTTCCCAAACAATTTACCCCTCTAAAATTTATAAATTTTTATAAGTCTGTCCTCCCCAATCGTTTAAATTTGTACTGCGAATCATTGCTAAGAATATTCCTTATTATATACCTTGAATTAATTCTATCTAATTCACCCTATCTCTCATTGCCTCTCTCCGCAAGGCTATACTAACCCTCATTAAAGAGTCATGGGCTAGGAAATTTCAAAAATGCTCGTACTCGTACTTTGTACCTGCCAAAGTCTTTGTACTTCCCGTACTTTGTACCTGACGATTCATGGATAGTCTCCTCCCTCTAAAATTAAAAAAGGGGAGTCTCTTTATTCTAGTATATTAAATAAATAGTTGTAAACACTCATTTTGCCTTCATTTAAATTATAAAACATCTCGAGGTAAATGCCCTTATGTTGTCCAAACAATTAGCAAAAAGAATAAGCTCTTACCCTTTCTTGCGTTTATGCGCTAGGAGTACCGCTGAGAGGGAGTTATAATTTAACTTAATCATAATAACGTAGAATTCTCTCCCTAATTCTTCCTCATCCTGTCCTTAAATTCAAATTTTCATTCGTATTTATTATTATATTATTCTTGGATTTTTGGGGTTCCCTATTTTTATTGTTTAGCTTCATCAGATCTACAAGGTATCACACTCAAGTCAATTTATTTGAATTGGCCAACATATAGCTTAATAAGGCTGTATTTTCAATTATCCTCTAGTCAGACTCAGTATTATTAAGCGGAGTTTGGGGTACAGCCCTATACGTTTGGCAAGCCCATTGCCAAATTCTATGGGCCTTCGTCGCTCGTATCTTTTTGATGAGGGTTTTGCCTGAAGCCGCTGTGCCGATAATAAAAAATTATATTTTAGAAATGAAGCTGACAAAAAGCCTTTTCATTTCAAAAACATTTCCCTTAAAAATTCCCATCCTCACCCTAATTTTCATTTTGTTTTCTTTCAAAAATATTTTTTGTGATTCTCAACACAATCTCAACAATTCAATACGATTACAAGTAAAGAATTTGTTGAAAAAATATTTGCCAATCAAATACGACAAAAAGCAAATGGATCCATTGGAATCGCTTCAACATTTGTTCAATGGACTTGCATTATTTAACGACCACTACCGTTTTGGTGGTATTCTTGACTATTGCAAGGAATTATATCCGAACGTAATATATCTGAAACTCTATTATACCTCTTTTCCTAGAGTATGTCTCTAGAATTATATTTTTTATTTTATAGCCCGACTTCGCCCTAAAGAGTGCCTTCGAAAAAGATATGGACAAAGAAATGATGCTAAATGTCAATAGATATGTTGAATGTGTAAATAAAATATACTCAAACTATTCCAATGTGGTAGATAAAAAATATAAAAATCGTGATGGTAAAAAAATTTTAAATTTTCTGGTTAATTATAGTAAGGGTTGAGTAGCTCTTGCAAACTCTTCCCCCTTTTCACGTTAAAAATAAAAGATAGAATCTCGTTATAGTGTAATTCCTTAAGGGTAAAAAAATTATATAACATCTACACTAAGATGGATATCAGGCTCTTACTTCAATGCTTTTTCAATTTTATAAAATTTTCTTTCCTTTATTGTCGCATCATCATATTGTCATTATTACATTTGTAAAGCTAAACCGACTTGTGTAAATTAGTGAGTATACTGTAACGAGATTCTACTGTATACGCAAGGACAATCCGAAGGAATAAAGCCTATCGGAAAAGCATTTTGAATTAAGTTAACTTAGGAACAAATAAATTAATTTATTAAAAATATTTTGAAATCTTTAATTTCCAAACTTTGTTTAATAATAAATTTAGTTAAAGAAAAACAGCAAATCGACATTTTCAAAAATTTCATGAGAGCATTTTTATTGACAAAACCAATTTTTCTTGCGGTTGAGTCGATAAGATTTATGATGACAAAAAATACGAATTTGAATGGAAGATCCTGGGTTATTAATTTGCGACTCCCGGAAGGAGAACAAGTTCATCGTAATGTGCGACGTAACTTCTTCCTTCAAATGGCAGCAACTCAGAATACTGAAGTACTGTAAAAATTTTTTTAAGAAAAAGCTGATCTTATAAAAGATTCACTAACAAAGGAGAGTGCACGAGGTTTCCGTGGGACTTCGGGATGAAATTTGGTAGAGAGGTCTATCTATCTATCAAGGTCTATCTGTCTAACAAATTTCATCCCGAAGTCCCACGGACACCCCAGGCACTCTCCTTTGTAAGGGCAACTAGTTAAATAGCTAAAAATCAAAATTTCAACTATAAAATCTCTTTGCAGGAACTGAAACTTATATACAAGTTGACAGGAATTCTTTCCGGAACAGAAAACCTTCTCAACTTTGACAATTTGCAAGGCATGTTTCAAGGAAATGAATTATCTTTTCTTCTTGAACGATTTAAAGGAACATACGAACATCAAACTGATGACGTAAAATTACTCAATGTTGTGATGTGTTTTTAGTTTTCCTCTCATTTTAGTTTACAATGCTTGAATTCGGGAGAAGATTCTCATCTTTTGTTAACGTAGAATCTTGGTCTAATTTGTGTGCTATTGAATTGAATATTAATTATTACAATTTATTTATTCAGCAATTTTCAAATAGATATTTGTTGATCCAAGCCGGATGCAGGTATTTGTTAATAGTTTGTGTTCGAGCTTAGTCAAATAATGACGTGATTGGCTAGATCTCATGATTCTTACCAAAATTATAAAGCTAAATCATCGTTGGGAAAACCTTTTGTGCCAATGTTAGGGAGTAAATACGCTGTGATAACTTTGTTCACTTGAGTCAGTTTTCGTTGAATTTTATTTCATTTGACTCGGCTCGAAGAGCTCTTTCGAATTTTATATAATTTGCCATAAAATGAGAAAAAACTAGGAAAAAATAATAATGAAAATTGGGGAGGGGCATCTTACAATCGATTACCATATTTTTTTATCAAATTTTAAAATTTGATATATTTTACAGTATATTAGCGATGAATGGTTATGTCAATGCTTATAGTGGATTTGAACAAAATTCTGTTTTTTCAATCGTTTCGGAAGAATTAATATATTCTATAATGATGATGTTTAAAGCAGAATCATCATTTGCCCACGTAAACTATCCAGTAGATAAGGATGTTATTAGAGGAAATTTCCATGCTGCAAATCCAAACGGACTATATATCAATAATGTTTTTTTCAGAGCATTTGACTTTGAACAAATAGACTTTGAACAAATATATTTTGACTTTGAACAAATAGACTTTTATTCTTACCCTACACATGCTGGAGGAGCATTTCAAATGAATGGAATTTTTGATAATTTGTATGAATGGATACAAGAAATGTGTCCCGATCCTAGTGCGTTGCATAAAAGCCACAGGTATTTAATCGAATATTAGAGTTGTTCCCCGACGGGGGGTGGACGGGGACGTGGAAAATTTTTTATTTTTTACGGGGGGGGGGGGGGGGGGAGGGACGGGGACGGGGAAAATTTTTTATTATTTTACGGGGGGGGGGGGGGTATCTCAAATTCCCCGACTTTTGTGGACGGAGAACAACCCTACTGAATATGTTTAGTACTATGATTTTGTAGCATCAAATATCATCATTATTCGGTTACGACTGTGTGGAGCCGGGATATGCATACGGGCTTGGCCTAGTTGAGAAAAAGTTGGGTCGTTTTCGGACCTGGTCTTCAAAATTTTCGTTGTATCGGGGTAGTTTTTCGGGAAATAAATGTCCCGAAAGAGCCTTGATAGGGGCATTTTTGAAGAAATTTCGAAATGACACATTAATTTCGTATTAAATAAAATGTTCTATTTTTAATAAAATTTCAAATTTAAATAAAGACATTATTGGATGAATCGTCATTGGATTCAAAATCTGAAAACTGCTTTTGAAAATACCAAAAATTTGTTCAATGGAGAAACTAAACTTATCGCTAATGAACCATTTAATTTTCGCAGCGTACTATACCAAATATATGTCAGCGCAAGTACAAATGGAGGCCTTTATTTAGAGCTTTTGATGCAGTTTCTGAATGATTTGTTTATAATTACTAATGTTTCACAACTTGGAGGGTTTAGAGAGGAAATCTATGAGAATAAAGAGAATAGACGTGTTTTTCAAAAATTAATAGAAGGAATAGGCAAGCATGGTGGTGACAACCTTAATATTGGGGAAAATTCACTAGCAAGTACCAATGGTGTACTGATAAATTTCGAAAGGATATTTGTTCAAAAACCTAAGTTTG